GAAACATTATTAACCTTCCTTAAAGACAAATTTGGATTGGAAATGATAAATGGTAGGAATGATCCAACAACCAAAGGGGGAACTACTATTGATGCAGTTTTTGCAAGAAATATTGAAAAAATAGAACCCAAACATTTCGTATCTTACTTTAGTTATCATAATCCCATTGTAAATGTTATAGATTTGGATATTTCTCCACTCGAAAATGATAATTGAAAGATGCGATCAATTGTGAATTGTAAGCATTGTTAATGAAGTTTGTCTTAAAGAAACAATATCTATGATTTCACTAAAAATCAATTTCTATCCCTTCCTATTTTCATTTCCACATTACGAAGTATCACTTCTTCTGCACGGAGGGACTCCACGCCCTATTTTTTTTAATCTAATTTGGAAGAAAAAAAAGAAAACAAAACGGTAAATTTTCCATTGAAAAATTAAAGAGAGAAGAAAAACAGAAAATAAACTTAAAACCGGATCATGATTTTACATGTATGTATCAGCTAATTTCTAAAAAGCTGATCAGAAACTAAGGATTTTGATAAATTTCTCAGTTTTTGAACCGTTAATCAAAAGAATAAATACAAAAATTTAATATTCAGGAAACAGATTTTACTATAACAAGGAAATAAGTATAATATCTATCTAATAGTACAAAATGCTAATGCCTATAGATAAAGATTACTTAAATTGATAAAATTCTGTTGGCAACAGAAAACTGTAACATCAAAAGAGTGATCAATTAATTATAAGCGAGGAAAACAGAATAGTAACTAAATAAAAAAAAAGACATATACTAAAAAAATAACACCAAAAACGTTTTTAAGCTAAATTATTTCCGTTTAGACATGCCATTTAAATTACCGTAAAGGGAGCTTTCAGTCATGACTTTTAATTGTGATATTCCTTTTAAATCTTTTTTTTTATTTAATTTCAACAATTATTCAATTGAAGGCCTTAATTCCTCTTTTTAATTTTTACTCCTATTGTATCTTCAAACTTATTTAAAATTTACAATTGTATGTGTACGTAACAAACGCTGACAATATTCCTTTTCGGGCGGATGTAAAAAAAAAATCACCCAACTCAGAAAACACAGATGTAAAAATAAAAATCACTAAGCACCAGTGATACTTAGTGAATCACGGTAATAGATGCTGCAGTTATCGAGGTACAGGTATAGGACAAAATAATAGAAACACCTGTGTAAGAATGGAGTCGTCCTTCGACCGTTAAATTAACGGCGGGCACGTGTAGCAAGAGTGTGCCACCTAGTGGTGGATACGGAGTTCTGAAGGTGGGTATTCATCTCGGACGTTATCACCGACAGTGTAGTCTTGCGTTTTTGAGCGAATATCCTCTTCAACACCCGTCTATGACGGTCCGACAACTTCGACTTCCTAGCGCTGTTGTGCTTCGCAGAAAACACCTTAAACAGCTTTGTGTATAGAATTCATTGAAAATCAAAAACGATTTCAAGAATGATATTGCTGCTAATTTATACAAGAAATAAACTAGAATACCAACGACATCGTAGAGCAGCAAAGACAATTTGGAAAAAAAAATGGTTCATCTTACAGGAAAAATTGAAGAACTCAGCAGCAGTTATCGTGCAAAGTGACTGATGAATTTGATATAAATGCTGGCGTACAACTGGGTGATGCACTCTCGCCCCCCCCCCGTTATTTATTTTGATTCTGGAGCATGTTGTTCGTCAACTTGACTTAAGAAAAAACATCCGCACAAAACATATTTGCGCTTAAGCCGACGCAAATAAACGAAAATAAGAATTCTAAGAAAAAGAAAATCAGCTTTGAGCTCTATCACTAGATGCTTAATTAGAGTAGCAAAGGAGATGGGACTTAAAATTAATGATAGAAAAATAAAGTACATGAAAAAAAGTAAAACTGTAAATGATTAGACAATGAAAGTTGCTTAAAATTAATTTGATATTAAAAAAGTGCATGGTTTTACCTACCTTGGATCAATCATCAAAAAAAAAAAAATAATCATTATTTTATATAAATAAATAAGTTCAATCATTATTGAAAAAAAAAATCAAAACTTAGCTGCATTATTGGTATGGGGTAAAGGGGGAAAAATTTAATAAAAATTAGGGTAATAAAGATATTAAGATAATTAGAAATATTTAAGATAGATTAAAGAAAACTAACAGCTGTTAAAAAAAAAAAAAAACCAAAGTNAATCCTTGTCTTAAAATTAAAAAGTTAAGTTGACGAACTAAAACTACATTAGTATATTACAGTACAAGTGTAGAAATTTACTATTTCACTTGTGTAGGATTTGCGTAATGCTTATGGGGTCCCACAAAATTTTCATAAATATTACGGGATTCCTACACCAAAAAATTTAAGAAACCCTGTTTTAGTTAATGAAACTGAATATTAAGAAAGAAGTTGAAATAAAACACTGAAAAATCAAAATTTCCTTCTATTAAAAATTTATAAAATAAAAATAGTAATACTTATCCAATTAAAAACTACTCTAGGAGATTTCGTTCTCCATTAATTGTGGCACAAAATAAATAAATAAAATTTTTTAAAAATATTTAAATATAAATAACATTTTGTATTCTTTGAATAAACTAATTATAGTTTAATGCAAAAACTCTTTGGTGGAATTTATGTCCTGGTCTTCTTTTTTTTTTTTCAGTTTACTTTTCTTATGAATATTTTTTTTCGGGGGAACCAGGTTTAGAATTGTCATTCTAATTGCTTGTGTTTTCCAAAGAATTTTAAAGCTAGATGAAGATTTAGTTCATATAATTTCTTGCTCACATGGATAACGATGCATTTCATCTCTTGTTTAGCGCTTTGACACAGAGGGGGCACCTTAATATCTTCCATATATTTCTCGTTTTCATATAAAAATCCACAAAAAAAATTCTTGCAGAGTAATGAAATTTCAGTAATGCCTTTTTCTGAGTACCATATTTGATTGATTAAAGTTTCAAGACCATTGGTTAATGCAATTTAAGATAGAGAAACCATTTCAAATGTGAAATACTGGTGCATTAATAACCGGTGTAACCACCAGAATTTTGAAGGCAAGCATTGTGTCACACAGATACCGTAAGTCATTTTGTGAGATGGAGCTCCTTGCCTGTTACACCTGGTCAGTTAATACGGGGATAGTTAATGCTGGTTGCAAATAACGCTGAAGTTGTCGTCTAATGATGCCCCATACGTGCTCGATTGGTGAAAGATCTGGTGATCTATCAAGCCAAGGCATTATACCGACATTCTGTGGAGCATGTTGGGTTACAACAGCAGTATGATGGCGAGCGTTATCCTGTTGGAAAAAAACCTCTTGAATGCAACATGAAGGGCAACAAAACAGTTTGAGTCAAGGTGCGTGGAATAACCCTGAGAGTACACCATCTGTCATAGGAAATGGCTCCCCAGACCATAACTTCAGGTATAGATCCAGTGCGTCTAGGCCAGAGACAGGTCGGTAGCATGGGTTCACATGGCAGAACCGACTTTCATCAGAAAACGCAATAGATCGCCTCTCTTTCCCCCATTGAGCTCAGACTCGACACCACTCACGTCGTAAACGGCAGTGGTGTGGAGTGAATGGAATGTAAGCTACAGGGCGCTTTGCTCAGAGTTATACTTGAAGTAGCCGATTTCTAACAGTTCACTGTGTCACTGCAGAGCTACTTGCAATTCGAATTTCTGATGCAGACGCAGTACGGGGGAGGGCCACAGTCATACACGGTGGGTCTTCCTTCTGAGTAGTGCCACTAGGCTACCCTGAAGACTGCTGTACCTTCTCTTGACCACTGTTTCCAACAATCATGCACAGTGAGCCGTAATGGCTCAGTCGATAAGGGGTTCGAATCCCAGCAACAGTTCCGGCTTGCAACTACCACAGAGCTGACGTAAAATATCCTGAGCGGTAGACGGATCACGATTTAGAGTCAGTCCCCTTGCCGTCAGGCTACCCATGGGAAGTTCTCGTGGCCTTCCTCTCCATGTAACGCAAATTTGGTTTAGTTCTATCCAAAGACTTCCAACAAGGCAAATTTCTCCTAATAATTGATCCAGGAGTTCCCTGGTTGGGTTCAAAATTGCAAGGCTACGGAGTTGAACGTTAGCTGTTGTAAACTCAAAAAAGTAGGGTCGGCTGTTTAACGACAGTCATAAAATAAAATAAAATCATTCGCCGTTGATACATTTCTCGCCGTCTTTCTGCAATATCGTAGCAAGAAAATCCAACTTCTGTCAGATCTATTGCACGACCACGTTGACAGTCAGTGAGCTGCTGATAATGGCTTCTTCGTCTTTTTAAAGGCATTCTTGACTAACAGCAACTTACTATTTTAAATTTAATGAAAAATAACGCTTCCGAACTGTAGAACACGAAAGCAATTCTGATTTGCATGTTCACAGTGGCACTACTAGCCCCAAACTTATGCATCAAGCGCGAAATTTGAATCGACATCATCTTT